CAAATGTACAATTCTGGGAGCCTGATTTTCTAGAGTAGGAAAGATAGTAATAGTGAGGTGCTTCCGTGTTCACTTCAAATAACCAATCATGTGAAGGAGAAGCTTAGTTTTTTCAATTCCTGTGTCTTCGCTGCCAGTGCCAGCTCCCATTAGCGGCGAACTTTCCGGGTGGAGGAGAAGAGAAAACAGACAGCGATCGCCGCTGCCGAAGCGGCAGAAGTCCCCCCGCCCCCCTGTGCTCCGGACGGCTCCCGAGTCCCTCAACAGGTCGCCGTCGTCTCCAGGATGACGCCGCCGTTGCTCCGCCTCCTGCAGCCCTCGCTTCTTTACATGCGGTCTGAGCGGCCAGGGGAACCAGGGGCGGGGCCACTTACGTCACTCACTGACGTAGGACGTAGCCAAGGACGAGACAGTGAGACTGTCACTGAGACTGCACAGGCCAGCGCCGCTGTGGCCGGCGGGGACTCGTCCTTCAGATGCCGTCTGCAGAGGCAGCCCACACTGGTCTCGATCGGACGGCCGGAGCCGAAATTATGCCGGGGCGGCCGACTGTCACTGTCAATTTTCCGCCCTGTTCCCTGGCGCCGCAAGGCAAGTGCCCATGTTGCCTTGCGCTAGCGCCGGCCCTGAGTCTACTTTGTTGCTCTTCTCCTAGCTTCACAGTTTTCTAAAATAGGGCCCTTATGTTTTTCTTGTTAAATAAAAGTGCATTTACTTTTTTTAATCAGATTATTTTGATTACGTTTTTTATCATTAACAAACACTTTACAAACAAAAAGTACCCCTCCCTCCCAACTGTATATAATACATTCTGCCCTGTCCGGTGTGGTCATAAGTGTTTGGTCTGCCTGTGTGGGTACCTGCGCAGGTGTGGGGTCACCTGTGCCGGTATCCCTGACACCCTTTCAGGTTGCACCAATCAAAATCTAATCTGTGACTTGTATCATTTTTGTGGAAGGCCCCTTCAATGGTCTTTTCCATTGGTGGCAGATATGCCTCTGCTATCCGTTGCAGCTGTGCTACCCTTGGTAGACAAGCAGGAAGCAGAAGTAGCACCACCACCGCTAGAGATGCTGGCCTACCTTGTTGCACGTGTGTTATCAGAAAGGATGTTCAGCGCAGCTGGAGGGATGGGGATAAGCAGACACATTTGCCTGTCTACAGGCAATGATGACCACCTTAATTTTATCTAAATGAACCATGATTGGCTCTCAGATGCTTCCACACCTACTAACAGCTTCCACTGCTTAGCTGCCATATTCAGCCTATTCTCTTAGTCTGTGACTGAGCAAATATTTACTAAATTTACAGTACATACAGTCCCCGCTAAGTGGCAGTGGTAATGGTACTGCTTCTGCTTCAGTATTTCTCTCACTACAGCATATCAATAATAATTCTGATTTCTAAATGAATGGTGCTATCAGATTTGTTTTGCCATCTGTATCCTATTGGTTAGATTTACCTACATTTCCTGTCCGATAGCCACAACAGGAAGTGAGAGGAAATTCCTCCAAAGTGAGGGAAATCCCTGGTGGTCAGGAGCTCCATCAGCATTAGTGTCCCCATTAGAAGATGTTTCATGTATTCCTGTTCTGATAATAACTCAAAATTTGGGATTTTCTTTCCCTTTCAGTGACAATGGTCACCAGGACAAATAGAGAGGGTGAATGCCATGCCATGAAAACGGGATGCTATGAGCTACTTTTTAACCCCAGAGGGCTGACGATCTAATTTTTGGTTAATGTGACATTCTTTGGGAAGCAGACCAATACACAACTAATATTGTTTCTTAAACTAACACCAATTGAGGCTCATACTACACGAGAAAGCCTTTTGACTTACATTTCTTTAACAATGTTGTTTGGGGTGCTGTTGATGCAGTGTACAAAGAAAGGCATATAAAAAATGTTGACATATAGTGCAAAGAATGAGCTACCACCATATAGTGCCACTGTTGGGAATCCAAGAAACAATCCATATGTCACGCTCGAGCGGGCTGTTCTTTTGCTTTGGATCACAGCTGCGGAGTATCCGCATGCCAATACAGGCAATACAGGCAATAAGCCTTGTAGAAGTAGGTGGTTCAGGGTTGGATCCATGAAAACACTCTATAATGTAGCAGAGTGAGTGCAGAACCCATGTACATCATACACCATCATTAACATAAGGATGTTCACTTGCGCTGCCGTATTTGAGTCATACCACAGACGTACGCAGTGCGCTTTAAGGAAATAGTAACAACTGAATGTAAATAATGGTAACAGAAAACTGAAACACAGTAGAAATTATACCCCGGGGTCTGAGGGGATATGTAGTCTCGCAATACAGACCCCTCTATGAGGTTGCGAGGTGTCAGGTAGTTCTGGTATGGATTAGGTTACAAGCAGACAGGAGTATAGTGCAATATTTACATGCATTGGTTTACTACCTAGATAACCAGTAGTCTACACAAGTTCTATGGATGAGGATGCAAGCTAACACAGTCCCCTTAATTCAGTATGCGGATGCAGAGAAAACTAATTATGAGCATGAATAAGTTTTAGTCAAGCCACAGTCAACACGAGTTACTTGCAGTTTAGGAGTATGCAGAAAACAGGAACCATCTGCAGGAGTATGACAGTGGATCAATGTGGCAGCAATATGACAGAGGATCAAACTGGGGGGAAGATGTCAGTGGCAGCGGGCATCTGTTGGTAAGGCTCCTGGCCGTCTAAACTCAATTCAGGATGGAGAGCGGTGCAGGGATGGAGGGAGCTATTGCTCAACATTCCACATTGATAGAACACCGAGCAATTGAATCTCCCGCCGTCTTATCGGCAGAGGGGCGAGATATGGGCGGAGTTACGTGCGGTTGTCGGCGTCTCTCTCCTGAAGCGAGCAGACGCTGCTGAAGGGGGTGGCACCGTGGTGCCTGGCCAGACGGCTGCGGGGTGAGTCTCTGACACCATAGTAATTCCATAACAGTGTGTGCAGCATTCAGTGACTCCACAAAGTTGTAAATTGAAGAATTTGCATCATTTCCATATTGCCCTAAAAGTGGCATAAAATGGCTCCACATTTTTCCCTTTTAATTAAATAGCAACATGTTCCTCACACATGTGGTTGGCTTCCTATGTAATTTTGCAGCATTTGTCTGCTGTAGTTGCCCTCTAGAGGTATAAAAAAAACGCCATTGACTTTAGTTGGGTTCCAATAGGATATGTTTCAAATCCTGAACATTTTGCCATGTTTGGCAAAATTGCCCACAAATTGAACAGAGGCATATTTGAGCAATACTTGTTTCAAAGCAGCCCAATTTTTGCAGTATGACCATCTCAAAATGAAGTTAGATAATATTAAACATATGTACAGCTACCCATAAAGAAGCCACCCTTGCACCTAGACCTGACTGGCCACTGACTTCTGAAAACCATTTCAATTGGCTTTATTTAGCAGGAAAGCCCTGTAAAAGGAATAGGGCTAGGCAAAAATAACAAAGTAGAGTATCAGTACAGTGAAGAACACAATTACCAGCAACTCTCTCAACAAACAAATGGTAGCACAGAAGCAATCAGACTTTGAGAAAAAAGGGCCAAGTGGCCTCTCACCAAACCAGAACAAAGGTGAAGTCATTTTCCTGTTGATGTCAGTTCCAGGATTACTCTCTCACTCAGGGTGGTAGTGGGGTAGAAAACAATTGCAGCCCCTGGGTGGAGGCAGATAGATGATGATCCCCATTTGGGTTTTTATGCCCTATGATACTCAGCCACTGAAACTCTGCAAAAATGGTCTCTGCAACTCATCAGACTGGAATGGCAGAATAATGGAATGGCAGGACACTCTGTAACAGCAGGTCTCTGGAACAATAGTGGCACTTTGGAACAACAGTAGCACTCTGGAACAGCAGTAGCACTAAACGCGTGTTTTTTTGGAACACAGTCTCTGCAGCAGTAACACAGGAAAAAATAACACAGCAAAACATGACCTTGCAGGATCCTTTAGAACACTCACTCCAGAATTAGCATGGCAGCCACATGTTCTCCAAGTAGCAGAATCCTCTGTAGTTCTCCAGGCTGCAGACAATCTCTAGTAGCAGTGGGTTGTATCAAACCTGAGTCCTTCTGTACCATAGCTTGAGGCAATCTCTTGCAGCCATCAAATGGTCTATCCCACAGCAGTATAGTATAGCACATACCCTGGACTCCTGGCACTCTTAGCTCTAGCCACAATACACAGCAGTCATTCAGCTCTCTCCACTGCATAACCACCCTTTATCTCTCTCTGTGCTCAATCCTTCAAATATGCTCCCGCAGACAGACACACCCAGGCTCCCCTGTATTCTGTTGGGTACCTGACTTCACAAGGGAATACTTCCATCTTTTTGGATGCAGAACATCAGCCTGTGTGTCTTGCAGCTGCATGTGTCTCTCACTCTGTCCTCCTGGGTCTGGGAGGGGATGCCATTACACGGGCTGTTCTGCACCAACCCAAGTCCCCCTGACCCCGGTTGCTAGTGGAAGGCTTGCCCAGTCTGCAGCTGCAGCCAATGAAGATCCTTTCTTGCCTCTCCCTTCAGCTGTCCATCAAGCAGGGAGAGAGCCAGCGCAACCTTAAGAGAGCAATAATCTGCTGGTCGGCTGAAAGTGTAGCCAGCCATCTGGAGGGTGCTACACATATAACGAGAACAGTGCAAATCCCACTCATGGCTGTCCTATATTTTCTCCACCACACCTATGTGAGAACAGTGCCTGCAGCAACCAATACGATCCTGGCTGTAATTTTGAAGTGGTTAGTATGCAGAACAATTATATTAAAAATAAATACATAGGTACATACATACACACATACACCCTACTGGGAGCTCATGTGACTCTCAATTAATTTATAATACATTTGTAAAATTCAAAAGTACATGTTAAAACTTTTTTTACTTTTAGTAATAGTCTTCATGCAAAGCACACAGCTAAAAAACAGCAAACATAGACAACACATAACACAATGGGTTAAGTTGATGTACCTACTTGTCAATGCAGCCCACCATGTAGTACACCATTGGGAACCAGCAAATTGCATCCAAGAAGTGCATATCTGGCCTAACAAAAGAATTATAAGAGAATAATTAAATAATTATTAGAAAAAGTTAACACATGATACATAGAAGCAAAAATATGACTGATAGTAACAATTAACTTCACAAATGGGCACTATTTTCCTAATCATTTTTCTATATTTTATATGAATAGCTCTAAGCTGTCTTGTTCCAGTGGTGCAGTACTGATTTTTAAACCCTCTAAAAGGCGTGAGGCTTAGCAAGACTGATGTGATTTTGACCACACGGCTGCACATTGGTGGAGACTAAAGCTAGGTTATGAGGAGGGGATTTAGATGTGCTATTTTTTATTTTAACATCACGTTCATCCCTGTATGTCTTTCCAAGTGAGATAAGGAGTGCTTAGGACCACCACAATTGCTTACTATCATGAACACGGATTTTCGCACTGACACATTAAACAGGAAATTACATTTACTTTAATAGATCACCCAGGCATTACAGAGACAAGCTAGAGAAGCAAAGTCATTGCAAAACTTAGCTCATAGTCTCACAGCTCTCCAATTTGATGTCATGTTAACTAAAGCTCCAAGGTTAGGTGATTTGACATTCAGCAGCTCTACAATATGGGTTCCACTATCAGTCTTCACTGCTGATATCAACACCCAATTCAGGCAGCTCAAGGGTAGGTATTTGGTAACTGTAATTTACTTTCCAGCTTCCCTAATACCTGGGCAATCACTTCAATTAAATTGGAGCTGACTTGAGGTTTTTTTAGATTCATTGTACGTACTTTTTAGGTGGTTATTAACTTTCTAAAGTAAGCCATACACAGCATATAATGCATTAGCCACAAGTACAATGTGCTTGCCAATGCATTTATGAATAATGGTATACTTCCCTGCAAGCTCTTTTCTTATTATTGACATTATACAAACAATGAAGAGTAAATCAAGCAAAGTTTGGCTCGGTTAGCTGGACGTTCGCCAAACACTGAAAAAATATGCAAAGCCCTAACATAACACCTGAACCCCACTGATGTAAACTTTCTACTTTTTCTTTCATTTTATATGGCCAGTTTGCAAGCTTTCATTAAAAAAGGGTCATGGTTAGCTAGGCATGGGGGACATATTTATGCAAAAAAATAAAATAAAATGCTGCTCAGCGAAGAGCTGGTCTTTTATTTGTGACCTATAGAGCAGCATTACATATACACAATTCCTTTACATAACATGCATGGGGATGCATTAACTTGCTTGAAAAGTTGCACACTTGTACTGCTGCCAAATTGACATTTAGAAAGAAAAAAGAAATATTGCCATTAAATGACATTTCCTGGACAGCTTCATTGGGTTTGTAACAAAATTGTTGTGGAGTATCCCCCCCAAATCCATACAAACCTTATCCAGGCATACAACCAGGAAAGGGGGGGGGCAGCGAGCATGCACCCACCCCTTCTGAACCATACTACATAACATCCTCTCAACATTGGGAAGGTACCTTGGAGGGGGAGAAAAGCTTCCCCCATGCAAGGTACCTTGTCTCCATGTTGATGCAGACAAGTGCATCATCACTATATCCCTGGCCCAGTGATGTGGGGTTCCACAAGGGAAACTTATCAGAATCTGGAAGCTTCCTTTAAGATAAGCCAGATAAGTCCCCCAGATGTCTGTACCTCTCCCTATGTAAGTGAGAAAGGGGTACTGAGTACCCCTGTTACTCATTAACAAACAATTAAAAAAGTAAATATACACACAAGTGCTGTAAAAAGTACTGTAAAAAGCCTAGGGCATCAGGCTGGTGGTGAGGAGCAGACAGGGTCATCAGTGGGGGGTAGTCAATGTCATAGATAGGGGGGTACAGACAGTACTTTCATGAGGGGAGGGCTGAAAGGTAAGCTGAACAGGAGTTGACTGCGTCTCTGTCAGGTGGGCTTTACTGGGCCCCATGAATACTAATGCTTGTCCCATCAACATGCTGACAAGGTCCATTGCCAGGGTGGGCTCCTATGGCAAGGCACCCTGCAAATGGCCCCAGATATCTACCCACATATGTAAATAAGTTGGGGTTATATAGTACCCCTTGTCACTCATTCACAGAATAAAAAATTAAAAGTAAAAAAAAACACACACTGTATCTAAAAGTCCCAACAATGTCCCAAGATGTAAACACTATGTCAGTCATGATAAACAATGCCCTGACAACCCACAAACATGACAACCCTTGCCACAATGATCTTCTCCCATTGTAAATGACTGTTGGATGATGAATGTCAAAAATCTGGCGAGGGGTGCTGGCTGACTTCATTGACTATACATGTAACACGAGCTGTTGGACGGGAAGCTCTCATTTAGTCATGAGTGGGCAAAAAGGCTAAAACTGACCATGTGGTTTGCCAATTCGGTGAACTGGGAACAAGCTGAGTTTAGATTTAACTCATGGTCAACCTGAGCCCAAAGGTTATCCACAAGTCTATAATAAATAATTTTTGTTGTCTAGCTGCTCTACCTACTTTCTCCTCTGTCCTCTGTCTGCCTCTAGCTCTCTCATTTCTTTCTGATACAGAGTCAGACTCTCACCATATAAAATTCAACCTCCATGAAAACATAAGATTTATACTGTATATGTATCTACTGCAAAATTGCTGAAGTTATTTATAAACTGTGATATCTGTAATCATGTGTAATACTAATTTCTTTATTACATCCTTATAATCCCCTGCAATTGTCACATCAGAGTAATGGAGGGAGGGGTCTTCTCTGGCTTATTAGGAGTCTTGGCTACAAAAAAAAATGAGTGAAGCACCAAAACTGATACCAGTATCGGCATCAGCGCCTATACCGAGCATTTGCATGAGTACTCGTGCAAATGCCCCAATACCGAAAACCGATACAGGCACTTTAATTTATGTAAATAAAGTGGCTGCCCTAGGTCCTGAATTTGCTGGTGACATCATGACCCACACATCTCTCCCTCCTGAGACCCTCTGCACATGTCCATCTGAGACATCAGGCCGGCACCCGGAGCAGAGTGGCAGCACAGAGTGCTCTATGTACAGGTATGGTGCTCGCAAAACTTCACCTGAACTCCACAGCTACTTAAGAAATATTGCCTGCTGTTTCTGCCCTGTGCTTTATTCTGCATTACTATATAATGTATTGCGGGGATTTGTAGTCCTCTATAGTTGATGGTATTCTGCACTGTTGTATACTGAATTGCTGGGATTTGTAGTCCTCTATAGTTGATGGTATTCTGCATTGTTGTATAATGTATTGCTGAGATATGTACTCCTCTATAGCTGGTAGTATTATGCATTGCTATATACTGTCTGTGCTCAATCTGGAAAAAATGGTATAGGTGCATCCGCAGCTCTAGGTGGTAAAGGTATTACTTGGCCTGCCATGAAGGCTCATGGGATGTTTATGGAGTTAAGGTTGCAACCTCATATAGAAATAATTACTGACAGAAAAGACAATTGTCAAGCTCTGCAGACTTCAGTGAAAATGAAAAGTGTTATAGGTATTGACTGTCCAAAATAGCAGGTTGGGAAGATAATGTTTTATTAGGATTTAATTCTGATCATGCTAGCTAATATTAAATAAAGTAGTTTTATTTATTATTATATAGATGCATATACAGTACATAATAATAAAATAATATACAACTGAATCCCATAATCTTAAAATATTGCTGGCATATACTGTGATGCTATCTGAGGCTGTGTTCAGTGTTTATTTTTATAGTAACAGCAAAATCCCTGATTATGTCAAAACAGGTTTATTCATTTTACTGCCACAGTTAAACAAACCCATCATGCAATCATCAGCATCTTTATCTGGTGTCCAGTGTTCTGTGCACATATGCTTATGCACCTACTGCTGAATCATAATTACCCATCTGAGTTTGAATGTACCCCAGGAGGCTAGCAATAAAGCAATCCAATGTTAAGCTCCAATAAGTAGGAAGCCTGAAAGGCAAGGTCACCATATTTTGTATTGCACAGGAACAGACTGTGCAGTAACTGTGATAGGAGCAATTTTACCAGATCTGTTAAAACTAACCAAGCATAAATACAGTTTGTAAAGGTACAATGACTTTCTGACTAGGATGATCTTGTGGAAATATCACTGTATTATGTGTACTCATGTCAAACGATTATAACTGACATTTCTGATGTGTGAAATGTGTGAAATGCAACCACACAGGTCAGCTTAGTGTAACAATAAACTTTAAAAGAACTATAGACTGTGAAATCAAAATACACCAAAAGAGGCATGAACAGAACTGGAAAATACAGTGGTGGACAAAATAATGAAAACAGCACATTACTCAACTCAGAAATCAAAATAGTAATAGCTAGCTATTAGTTAGTGCCACTGTAGCTTGTGCATCACTTAAAAAAACTACAAAATTATTCAATGTGTCAAGATAAAAAGTCTGAAAAATAATGATGCCACAATACAGCCTACCACAAAACTGAAACAACATTTTTGTGATGCAGTCTCAACAGAAAGTATACCTTATGAGTTTCAGATAGTTGGAATTGATTACCATTCTTTTCTTTGTAAATCAGCACACAGAGATCCATATCCTGGTGTAAACAACAACAAATGTGGACCTCCTGAGTAATGGAAAACTGTATTTTCCTATATCTAAGTGGGTATACATTTGGAGAAAGTAAAAGGATTGCTACTATTTACAATGTATATTATAATGCCGGTGAATCCATAATAGAATGGAAAGCCACCTTGCTGAAGTCAGGTCTAAAGATTGCTCTGCATGATTTTATGACAGGTAAGGAATATGAGGCCCTCTAGGGAACCAGTTGTACCCTATGCAGTAAACAGTGAGCACTCATTATGTTCTCATGTTGCAGTTTATTGATGTTTCACTATGGTGTCTTCTACACTTTCTTCAAATCATCCAATTGAAATAATGTTATACTTCTGTAAAAGTACAAGTAAGATGTGCAGGAGGCTCCAAGGCACTTCATGCTGGATATTAATTAGTCATAAAATAGCTTCTTAGAACCATCTGAAAAAC